TAATTGGGTTGTACCCCCTATGGGATACCCCACAATAGCCTACACAAATAAGTAAGCTATATGTTCTGACAGCCTGATGTGGACCCAGAAGTCAGACAACAACCAATCACAAGAAGGGAAGGCCAGAAGATGGCTGCTCATCTTTTCAACGTTAGTACCCATCTTCCGCCTAATTGAGACTTCCATTTCGGGCAGCGTGGGGGGTAGACCCTGCGTCCCCCGAGTGCCAACCTGCCCAGATTGGGGGTATTTTTAAACATGTGCATCGCCAGCAAAAGGCCCCGCGAACACACGAACTATGAAAGTTTAGAAGAAAGAAGAGAGTTGACTAGCAAGAATGAGGATACAAATAGCAAACCCTAGAAGGGTTGTACTCGCTATAGAGCACCCCACTACAGGCTAGAGTATAAGATAACATTCTGACACACCCCCATAGCCAAAGTGGGGTGTAATCAGCAGAGCAGGCAAAGCAGTACAAGCTCAGGGTGGATCACAATGTCACCACACATTCTGAGCACAAGTTCAAGAAGCAATAGTTTAGAGTTCACAATTATGAGCAAAGCTAGTGGTAGTAACAACGGGCAAGTGAGGAGGAGGAGAGAGAGTGAGAGGAGAGGAGATAGGAGGCGACGGCTGAAGCTGCAGACACACGGGCAACAGGAGGCAGACTGGCACAGCGGCTACCGGGCGAAGTCCCCGGAATACAGGAGTAACAGGCCCCGCGGCTAAAGTAGCGGCAGACGAGCAACGGACCCACGGGCGGCTGGCACAGCTGGCTAAGACTAGGCTACCGGACGAAGTCCCCGGAATACAGGTACTGCTGGCGACATGACGGCAACCTCCGTGCAACTTCCCCAAACTATCCCACTCCCCCTGGCACACACCCGCTGCTACACCGCTAGCTCCACTCCCACGCACCCCCCCTTAAACCCTAAACCCCAGTCTCCCACACATCCACCCCCCTCAGCGACAACTGCAGTAGTGGGAGACGAAGGAGGAGGAGGAGCAAAGGGAGGAATGAAGAAGTGCCACCCCCATACTCGCCACCCCCTACTTGCCACCCCCAAACCCTAACACAGGCAGGGTGGGATGGCGGGTAGGGAGGAACCAACGCGAGGCTTCCCAGGGCGCCAAGACAGGCAGCAGAAGGGGCGGCGCTCGCCCCCCTCCCGCAAGCGGCCCCCGAGGGTCGCCTCGACAGGCGACGGGAAAAGGGGGAGGGGGGGGGGGAGGCGGTGTCGAGGAAGGGGCCCACCACGGGCCTGGTAGGGTCGCCCGAGCCGCGCACAGGCGACCCAAGTCGCGCGCGGGCCTGGCGCCGCCCGTACGGGCCGCGCGCGGGCCTCGCGCAGCCCGTACGGGCCGCGCGCTGCCTGTACGGGCCGCGCGTAGGCCACGACGGGCGACGGGGGGTGACGACCGGGTCCCCGTCGCCCGTCGCGGCGCCTCCCGAAGGCGACGCGCCGGTCGACGGGGCCGAAGCCCGCCGCGCGCCTCGGGGCGCACAGCGGGCAGAGAACCGCCGCGCGCCTCGGGGCGCACGGCGGGCAGAAAACCGCCGCGCGCCTCGGGGCGCACGGCGGGAAGAAAAAAATGCCGCACGCCACGGGGCGTGCGGCTCAGAGAGTAGTTGCAGTGGTAGCAGCGGAAGCTAGGAGGTGGTAAGCCCACCCACAGGGTCGATCCAAGGGGATCGACCTGCTCTGATAGCATGTGAAAGTTTAGAAGAAAGAAGAGGGTTGAACTAGCAAGAATGAGGATACAAATAGCAAACCCTAGAAGGGTTGTACTCGCTATAGAGCACCCCACTACAAGCTAGAGCATAAGATAACATTCTGACACGAACAGCAGCCCAGTGTGCGGCCCAGCAACGAACACACGAACAGCAGCCCAGCAACTTTTTTTTTTTTCAGATTTTCCGTCCGCGGGAGGCCTGACCGAGGGGTGATCCAGGGCCATAAACCTGAGTGAGTTGGATGTGTGGAGGGATTTTTGGGTCGTTCATGTTGGCCGTTGAGGTCCGGTGGCCTGGTCTGATTTCTCTGTCCTTTGCGCGGACACTGTAGATACACCTTAGATTTTGCTGACGTGTTGCCACGGTGTCAGGACGACAAGTTGCCTTTGGTTTCCGAACTTCCCAACGTTCGGAACCAGACCTCCCGCACAACACCGAACCTAGATGGGAAAAAACGTGCAATTTTGCAGCCGAACAAGGCCAAAAAAACGGGTAGCGCGGTGCGAGGGTAGTCGACAGATTTGAGTGAAATTTAAAACACGTCGCGTCGCGCAATTATTTCCATTCTTTTGGTCAGTACAGTTGACCGTTTAGTGTACAATACATTCATTGTTACAGTGCACTGAAAACTGAAATGTCAAAGGATTACTGTAACTCTACTGCTCTGATCGAGAGAGAATATGCTACTGCATCCGCGCTGTTGAAACAGACAGAAAATGCCACCCAGAGAACTGCTAACTCCACTCTTGTACAATCTGCTGCACCACTGAAGTGTACGGAACTCTTTGGGAGACCTTGTTCTAGTAGATTTGTCTAATTGAACCATACCGAAACATTATTAAAAAACCTTGAACCGTGCTATTCCTCTCTTGACTCTACTGTACCGAAATCATTATTGGCGAGAAACAGAGACTCTTTTGCAGCCAAGTCATTGCCGTGCAAGCCAGCTTGGTGAGAATGTTGGTGCAGCAGTGCGGTGGCCTCACGCCACCTCACGTCAGTTTCTTTTGTTCTCAGAAAATCTTTAACTGTAGGCGACGGCCTGGCTGGATTGCTTTCCTTTGCCAGCTCGGACGCAATAAGTTTGCTCCTTTGCCAGCTTAAAACAAAGGGAAATTATACGCGCAGTCACAATTTAGGCCGTATTATCACGTTTGGTCACGGGGTTATCACGGACAGTCACAGTACAGTACTTCGCTATCACGTGTGATCACAGCGCTATCACGCGTGGTCACACCTCGCCCCGCAGGGCTATCACGTTTGGTCACTCGTTGAAACGCCCGCCAAAAAGTCGAAACTCTCAAATCTACTGTACAGATTCGGGTACTATTATCTCGCTCGCGTTTTGTCTGTAGTGAAAAACGTGATGTGACTGTCGAAATATACTCGGACCTTGTTAGGGACCGATGCAGTTTAATGCACAGTCCGCATGTTGCAGTGAATATAAGCGATCAATAACAGTTTCGATTATACATTTAGTTTAGGGTGTGCATTTCATCCATAAAACAAAGACATGGGTTTAGGTCGAATGATTTAAATATTGAGAACATTGAAATCATTCGAAAACCATACAACAATCTGTGGCATATGATTCTTGAGTGGGGACTCAAATTTGTAGTCCCCACTAAAGAATCATATGCCACAGATTGTTGTATGGTTTTCTAATGATTTCAATGTTCTCACTTTTTAAATCATTCGACCTAAACCCATGTCTTTGTTTTATGGATGAAATGCACACCCTAAACTAAATGTATAATCGAAACTGTTATTGATCGCTTATATTCACTGCAACATGCGGACTGTGCATTAAACTGCATCAGTCCCTAACAAGGTCCGAGTATATTTCGACAGTCATATCACGTTTTTCACTACAGACAAAACGCGCGCGAGATAATAGTACCCGAATCTCTACAGTAGATTTGAGAGTTTCGACTTTTTGGCGGGCGTTTCAACGAGTGACCAAACGTGATAACCCTGCGGGGCGAGGTGTGACCACGCGTGATAGCGCTGTGATCACACGTGATAGCGAAGTACTGTACTGTGACTGTCCGTGATAACCCCGTGACCAAACGTGATAATACGGCCTAAATTGTGACTGCTTGTATAATTTCCCTAAAGTAAAATGCTTTCCCGTTTCACGATTTTCCATACACTTTTCTGGTTCAGTATCCCAGGTTAGGGGCAAATTCATCGCATGCTCTTGCAACACCGGGACAAAACGCATTGAAGGTAGCATTGTATAAAGGGAAACATTATGCGCTATGGAGAATGGGAAGGTTTCATCAATTCAACCTTAATGTAGAGAAGTAGAAGTTGGAAGCTTTCTTCCAGTCTTAGAACATTGGAGGGTTCCGAGAAGTACTCGAAATTATTAGAGTCGGTCCTGAACTTGCCGGACTATGTTAGGATAACAAAAAACAATCCAATTGTATACACCTTTTTTTTGCGCTACACTGGCAACGGGATTCACTGGCTACAGTCAAACTGTTTTCTGTAGGTATTAGGAATTGTTACAATAACTGTCTCTAGGGGGTGAGTGATTCGCAATTTCGTTATCCTGGGTACCCTACCGAGCCATATCAAACGTTCAAACGACCGTTTTGAAAGTAACTAACCACGGCAAACCGTACTGGCGCAAAAGTCCACTATAACGCGTCCTCTAGTGCGTTGAGCCAGAGGGCCCATATAGCCAACGACAGTGTAGCGCGAAAGAGGGTGTATCGTCTGAGGAATCTGCTGCGGAATTGGCATGTCATATTTTGGTTCAGTTGTTGAGGTTGTAAGAAATGGGTTCCCATCCCACACTGAATTAGCTGGTAGGCTAACCATCATCTTCAGAATGCAGATAACAAGTCTGACCACCAGAGGACGATAGTGAATGGCTGCTAAAGACCAAATAGCAACCACTGCTTCCACACATTGTCAGAGAATTTGTATGCGACGACTGAATAATAAGCTGTTCCCTGCTGCTGCGAGCCCTCCTCGCCGCTGGCGATTCAAAGCAGCTGTGACGGTACAAGTAGCAGCTTTCTGATGACATCGAAATCGAACGGCGACGGTTGGAGCAGGCACCTCCTAAGTTGTTTGAAGCATAAACAGGAGGAGGAAGGGGAGGATGACACGGCAGTGGCAGGAGCTCCTGTCGATTGCTCCTCGGTGTTATTCCAGGGTAACAATGAGGGAAGTCTGCTTTGAGGAAACAGTTGGAAGAACGAGACGACCTCCGTCTCGCTCTCTTCCGCATCTACCTTACACCGCTCCCATCATGCCTCTCTCAGCGCCTGTGGCTAAGTTGCATGCCTGTGATCTTTGGCTACTAGGATTACATGAGTATTCTAACTATAGGCCTAGGATCTCATCATGCCTAGGGATCTTATCATGCATAGGGATCTCATCATGCCTATGGATCTCATCATGCCTACGGATCTCAATCATGCCAACGGATCTCATCATGCCTACGGATCTCATCATGCCTAGGATCTCATCATGCCTAGGATCTCATCAAGCCTACGGATCTCAAGATCTCATGCTGGTCTGGTCAAACCGCGGTTTAACTGATCTCATGCGGCGCAGTGATAGCAGCAGCGCCCTCTCACTCCTCGCTCCCCCCATCCTTCTCCTGCTACCTCTCCCCCCTCTCCCTCCCATTCCCATCCCAGCGCCGCTGTTCACGGTGCTGGTGGTCGTGTGGGTAGCATGCGGTGCAGTGACAGCGGCGTGGCTACTGTGGGACCGGCACTCGCAGTACGAGAGGCACAGAGAGGAGGCGCTGGGCGTGTGGTGCAAGGAGCGCGCCCTCATGCTGCAGCAGCTCGTGCTGGCCCACGCGGGGCAGATGCATGTGAGGCTGGGTTGGTGTGTTACCCTGATCTCATTTTCCCATCCCTCATGGCCTCATGCCCTCATCATCTCATGCTACAGCTGCTCGTGCGGGCCATGCTGGGCAAATGGAGGTAAGGTGCTCACCCATGCTGGGCAAATGGAGGTAAGGTGCTCACCCATGCTGGGCAAATGGAGGTAAGGTGCTCACCCATGCTGGGCAAATGGAGGTAAGGTGCTCACCCATGCTGGGAAAATGGAGGTAAGGTGCTCACCCATGTTGGGAAAATGGAGGTAAGGTGCTCACCCATTCTGGACAAATGGAGGTAAGGTGCTCACCCATGCTGGGCAAATGGAGGTAAGGTGCTCACCCTGCTGGGCAGATGGAGGTAAGGTGCTCACCCTGCTGGGCAGATGGAGGTAAGGTGCTCACCCATGCTGGGCAGAGCAGGTTCGTTTGGAGAACGCACACCATCTCACAGGGCAGATGATCAAAGGAAAGAGTAACTCAAACATACATTGAATAGGATCTGGCCTGCTGGGAATGTGATGGGTGGCTTTTTTAGTATACGCAAACCACACCGATTAGATAATAAGGTTAAAGGGTAATCTAAGCACAGATAGTGGTGGCGCTGGCCTACTCGGTTGGTGGTGGTCCAAGCACAGCAGACTGCAGCATATCGCACCGCACAGCACAACACAGCACACCAAAGTACAGCACAGCACACAACCGCACAGCTCAGCACTGCACCGCACAGTACTCACTGCTGCAGCACGAAGAGCTCTCACTACCTCCCTTAACCGCAACACAAAGGCTCCAGCGGACAGCATTCCTCCATGCGTGAGGAAGCCTGGCAAGCCACACGTATAATACTAATGCCTTTTGCTGTTCAGCCTTATTCTGTTCACATAATCCTTTCTTTTCTGGACTGTGTTTCCTTCCCATTCTTCAGACTCTTGGCGGGGTTGACCTCTGTGATGGGAACGCCAGGGCTTGGGGGCAAGTTGGACATGGGCGGGCGTGTGTGTGTGTGAGCTAAAATCCATCCCTTCTGCTGTGCACCTTCTTTAATAATAATCCCAATCGCCTCCCGTTCTTCAGACTCTTGCAGGGCTGATTTCTGTGATGGGAACGCCAGGGCGGGGGGGCAAGTGGGACATGGGTGGGTGTTTGGACTAGAAAAGTAGTGCCTTCCGCTGTTCAGTGCTCACTCTATGTAATGATTTATCCAATCGCCTCCCGTTCTTCAGACTCTTGCAGGGCTGATTTCGGTGATGGGCAAGCCAGGGCAAGGGAGCAAGTGGGAGATGGGCGGGTGCTTGAATGGCAGCATGTGGGGGTCGTTCCTCACTCGCACGGCACAAACTCGCCCGGGGAACACGGGTGCACTCGCGTGTGCGGTGGTGTACGATGCAGAGAGGTGAGAGGGGAGAAAGAATTGGTTCGGGTTGCAACAGCAGCATACCTGGGAGCAAGGTTGTGTGAACGGCCGCATGTGGGTGTCTGATCTCACTCTCACGGCCCAGGATCGCCCGGGAAACACGGGGGCGGTCGCGTGTGCGGTGGTGCACGATGCAGAGAGGTGAGAGAGGGGAGATAGGAGTGGTGGAGAGGAGAGTGGAGAGGGTGGAGGGAGTTGAATGTGAGATTAATGTGAGCTATTTCCATCTGCTTTGAGGCTACTCTCATCCCAATCTGCACTGCACCAGACCTACTATCAGCAGTGGTAGTGTTACACAACGCAAGCATAACATAAAGTTAAATTTATGCGTAAAAGGGCTGGCAGATGCAACACTAATGGCATTTTTCTTTTCCATCTTGCCTTCCATCCATTCTTATCTGATCCCACACACTTTGCTGCAGGGCGGACTTTGAGAAGCAGTACGGCAGCATCAGAGATAACACGCTGATCGTCAGCACCCGCCGCCCCATCTACTGCCCAAAGATTTTCGAACTCACAACACTCTTTGCCACCAACGGCCCCAGCAACGTCGACATGTCTCAGCGATTCTACTCTTTTCACTCTCTGGTGGAGGAAGGCAGACACTTCTACACCTGGCCCTACCCACTCGCTAACCCCCTCACCCATGCTGGATTCGGTGAGTGAGTTTTGAGACGTCTCAAAAGCCATATGGATTCGCTGACTGAGTGAGGCAACTGCCAGGGCCTCAAAAGTTGTTGTTGTTTTTGTTGTTGCTGCTGCTCTTGCTGCTGCCACTGCTGCTGCTGTTTTTTTCTCCCTGCCAACTCTTAACTTGGTGAGTGAGTTAATGGCAATGGTCAATGAGCCTCCATTTTTTTTCACATATGGTCCAGAATTCTTGTACACGAAGCATTACCCTTCTTGGGGAGCCCTCTCACTCATGCGTGACTTTGGCGTCGAATCACAAGTCGACTTATGAGGCGCCTCAATCTTTGAGTCGACTCAAAAGCACTGTCCTTCGAGAGCCCTCTCACTCATGCGCGACTTCAGCGTCGAATTACAAGTGGACTTCTGAGGCGCCTCAAAAGCACCCTCCTTGAAGAGTCCTCTCACTCGTGCGCGAGTGGGTGAAGCGACTTCAGTGTCGGATCAAGAGAGGAAGTTGATAATAATAATCTGCTTCCAATTTTCCAATCCCTCGTCTTTCTCCCTACCTCGCCTCAGGTGTCGCCTTTCCTCTCTGCCGCAGTGTCCCCACCAACCAGCCCATTAAGGCAAGGCAATCAGCAGCAGCAGAAGCACCACACAGAATGCTTGGTGTTCACAGTCAGGCGGCTTTAGGCGTGTCCATCAGTCTTCAATCCCCCTTGTTTCTCACCCCGGCCCAGGTGTCAGTTTTCCTCTCCGCCGCAGCGTCCCCACCAACCACTCGAGGCAATCAGCAGCGGGACCAGTGTACGGGTCACTTGCTGCTTCCGTTGACGTGACTTACATTGCTCAGAAGGTCCTAGAGGAGCTCTATGAACCTGGTGAGTGAGGGGCTGTATCATGTACGCACAGCTTTTGACCTATCGATGTCCCCTTGTGTGTGTGTGTGTGTGTGTGTGTGTGTGTGTGTGTGTGTGTGTGTGTGTGTGTGTGTGTGTGTGTGTGTGTGTGTGTGTGTGTGTGTGTGTTTGAGTTTTGAATGGACTTGTGTTCATTTGTTTTGTGCTCTTCTTACTCTCACACTCGCTCTACCCTTCTCCCCCCTCCCCCCACCTCCCCCTCTCCCCCAACCCCCCTCTCTCCCCTTTTTTCCCTCTCCAATGCAGACTCATCCGAGTCCTTTGAACTATACGGCATCACTGACCCAACCACCCTCTTCGCCATCATCCATCTCTGAGGCATCTAATAAATTCTCTGTTTTTTTAGAATTCTCAAAAAACATACACTGTATCTACTCTCAATCCTCCCCTTCCCGTCCTCTTCCCTCTCCCTTCCAACCCTCCAACCCTCCCAATCCTCCCACCCAGACCCATCCAAGTCCTTTGAGCTATACGACATCACCGACCCAGCCACCCTCTTCGCCATTGTCTCTCCAGTCCCCCCCCATGCCTATTTCCGCCCCGACGACAAGCTCCCCTACATGCACCCCTCCCCGGAGTCCGAAACCCGCCCCTGGGAGCATAGAGCCGTGGTGCCTTTGGAGGAGATGGGAGCAGGCGTGCGCAAATATGAAGTCTGGTGCAGGTCAGTGAGCCTTCGTGTGAGGCTGTGAGTGAGCTTTCAAGTGGGAGAGTGAGTGGGCCTTCTCGACTCTAAAACCCACCCCTCGGGCTGTATCACTCGCTCTCTTGCCCCCCCATGTGCACCCCGCTCCGGAATCTGAAATCAACCCTTGGGAGCACCAAGCCCTGGTGCCTCTGGATAGCTGTTGACAGCTCTTGAAAGCTCTTCATAGCTCTTGATAGCTCTGGTGCACGTAAGCTCTTGAAAGCATTATGTAGGATGACCTTTGAGGCGACTCAATAGTCATCTGGCCTGAATAGCTTTCAAATACAAGGTGTGGTGTATGAATAGCTTTCAAATACAAGGTGTAGGTACGCTCTTGAAAGAATCATGCGGGATTTGTCCTATTATTCCTCCCTCATCCTGGCATACCCAGCCTCCCAGCGCATGGTAGCAGTGGCCCATTCCTAACGTCATTGCCCTCTTCCTGTGCCTCTGCACAGTAAATGTAATATTTGAATTTTTGAGTCGGATTTCTTGGAACTCCTTGAATTAGCAGGAAACTACAACAGATCGACTGTTATTCCTTTGCTAAAAGTTTATTTTTAGACTGCTGCTCGCCTAACTTCATGGCTGAAGATATCTGAACGACCTTCCTTCCTGTTATTCCCCCCCCTCCAGGCACACCCGGCCTCCCAAGCACATGGCACCTGTGGGGCATCCTCATCCTCACCACTCTCTTCCTGTGCCCTTGCATGGCAGATACCCCATCCTCACCACTCTCTTCCTGTGCCCTTGCATGGCAGATAAAGAATATTCCACGACCTTCTTGTGATCCCCACCTCCCCGCCTTCTCATCCAGGCACACCCAGCCTTCCAACTTGTGGCAATCGTGGGGCGTCCCCATCCTCATCGCCCTCTTCGCCCTCTTCCTCGTGCTGCTCGTGCTGCTGGCTGCTTGTCTGCAACGCGCCAAGTTCCTGCAGACCCAGCAGCAGGTGGCGGAAGCGGATAGGCTGAGACGGCAGGCGGAGCGTGCAGAGGTGTCTAAGAGCATGTTTGTGGCGTGCATGTCTCATGAGCTCAGGACACCGATGATTGGGATCATTGGTATGTACAGTGTTAATGCGTTACCGAGTCTGTTTTTTAGGCGCATAAGAAGAAGAGGCAGAGGGCGCAGAGGCGTCTAAGAGCATGTTTGTGGCGTGCATGCCTCACGAGCTCAGGACATCCATGGTTGGGATTGGTAGGTAACAGGCACAGCATTCCTGCTTCATTCATGCACGTCTGCCGCGTCTGCTGCATTCCTGCAGTGCAGCCCCTGCATCTTATGGGGAATGCAGATCCAGCAGCAGGTGGCAGAGGCCGATAGGCTGAGACGGGAGGCGGAGGGCGCAGAGGCGTCTAAGAGCATGTTTGTGGCGTGCATGTCTCATGAGCTCAGAACGCCCATGGTTGGGATCACTGGTAGGTACAGTGTTCATGCGTTACTGAGTCTCTTTTTTTAGTGTGTGTGAAGAAGAAGAGTCAAAGAGCAAGAGCATGTCACATGAGTCTGTTTATAAAGAAGAAGAGCCAGAGGGAGCAGGGGTATAGTTTTGAGGCGCCTCTAAAACACATTAAGAGTGTGTAAAGAAGAAGAGACAGAGGGAGCAGGGGCGTCAAAGAGCATGTCACATGAGGTCAGAATGCTCATGGCCGCAGCATCAGCCAGGCATGCAATGCATCTGGTCAACTGCATGTTTCCCTTTTCCCCAAAATTCCATTCACTTTTCCCACCAGGCGTGCTTGACGCTCTAGCAGACATGAATGGCCGGGGCATCAGCAAGAGATGCACTGCATCTGGTCAACCGCTTCCTTCTCTTGGCTCTATGCATACCTGCGCCCATGTGCTCCCACCAGGCTTGCTTGATGCTCTGGCAGATATGAGCCTGAGCGCCTCTCAGTTCGCAGATCTCCTCATGGCCGGGGCATCAGCAAGAGATGCACTGCATCTGGTCAACCGCGTGTTGGACCTGGCGAAGCTGGAGGCAGGCAAGGCGGTGGTGGATGAGACGGTGATTGATGTGAGGGAGTGGCTGGATGCCACGTTGCACTGGCACGCGGAAGAAGCGCGCTCCAAAGGCATCGAATGTGAGTCAGTCGTTTAATGAAGGGGGGTGCACTGCATGTGGTCAAGCTGGAGGGGAGCAAGGCGATGGTGGATGAGACGGTGATTGATGTGATGGAGTGGCTAGGGTTTAATGAAAGATCATTTGAGTGGCTAGATGGCGCTCTGGGCTGGCATGCAGAAGAAGCACGGCTGAACCCTGGCTGAACCCTGAACCCTAAACCCAGGTATTGAGTGTGAGTGGCCCGAGTAATGATGCTGGTTCGAGAGAGCTCAAGGGGAAGGTATACAGGGCGAGTGGGATGCATCTGGTGAACCGCGTGTATTAACTGGCGAATCTTGAGGGGAGCAAGGCGATGGTGGATGCGACGGCGATAAACGTGTGAGAGTGGCTAGATGGCGCTCTGGGTCGGCGTGCGGAAGAAGCACCACTTAAAGGCATTGAATGTGGGTGACTTGTTGAGGGGAGTGCACTGCATGTGGTCAAGCTGGAGGCAGGCAAGGCAACGTCGCAGGAGTGCCTTCTCATGGTTTCTGTCTATCACCATGCAACATTCGCTGTGGGTTTCTATACAGCAGCATGAGTTCTCCCAATGTAGCACGAACCCGTTCTCACAATCGCGCATTGGAAACTTTCTCCGTCCTTCCTCCCACTGCAGTGAGCAGCAGTGTCAGCACGGATTGTCCCTCGCATGTCATTGTGGACCCCTTGCTCCTCAGCAATGCGCTCAAGGAGATCACAGGTGATGCGGAGGTTGAGGCTGTGATGCTGTGTGGGCTGAGGCTGAGAGTGTGGTGCTGAGGCTGAGGCTGAGACGTGAGTGGCTGGTGGTGGGATGGTGGTAACGACTCATTGCAACATGTGGATACCACTCACCTCGGCTACATTTCAGATAACGCACTCAAGTTTACGAAAATCCGGATTATGATCCGGTTCCCACTCGAGATGTTTCCTTGGTTTTGTTTCAGATAACGCTGTCAAGTTCACGACACAAGGCCACGTGACAGTGCGGGTGTCCCTCATGCCGCAAGGGACAAGCTTGCAAGCCACCCTTTGCTACCAGGGTAAGCTTGATTATCAGCAGTTAAACGTAGCATTGGTGATTACTCATGCGTATTCATACTGGTTCATATTGGTTAATTCTGGTTCATACTGGGTCATTCTGGTTCATACTGGGTCATTCTGGTTCATGCTCGTTCATTCCCATGCAATCTCTGTACAGATCCCCTGTCCCTGGTCCTTGATTCTCTCCTTTTCACCTATATATGTCACTCCTTGATTCTTCACTCTAACACCCTCACTTCCTGCACACTGTTCCCCACCCCCTCTCCACCACCTTTACCTCCCTCCGTTCTCCGTTCTCCGTTCCACGTTTCCCACGACTGTTCCATGCCTTCTCTCAACCACACCGCAAGCTCCCAGAACTGTTCACTGTCGCCCGCCTTGATTATTTCCACAAAGCAGCCCAGAAGCACATTTCCTCTCTCCACGTGAATGGTTAGATGGTTCTTGCCACGTTTTCCACATCCACGCCAGGCCTTTCCTCAGCCATCCCAGAAGCACGCACCTGGTCAACTCTCCACGGTGCGTGCATTGAGCTCTGCTCTAGATGGCGCTGCCTGCTCGATGGGGAGAAGGCAAGGCAAGCAGTGCGAGCAGTGAAGGGGGAGGGAGCACCAGCAGTAGCAGCAGCAGCACCACCACCACCATCATCACGGAGTCAAGATAGGAGACATATGCGAAAACCAGACAGGGGGCGTGGGAGGCGACATCATGGGACAGGGCATGGCATAGGGTGTGGGAGAGGGCGAGAGAGGGGTGGAGAGCGGTGCATGCTGGTGCTGTCGTGTCAAGACTCAGGCTGCGGCCTTCCAGCGTCGCTCCACACTGCAAGCGGCGCTGAAGGGCCGTCCTACTTCTCCCTTCAGGTGAGCCTCTAACTTCTCTCTCTTGATAAGCCCTCCACTTCTCTCCCTTCTCCATCCAACCAATCACTTTTCACTCCAATCTGTGATGCGCTTCAAAAATCACGTCTTACTCCAGTCAGACTTTTTTCTCCAGCCCTCCACTCCGGCCTCCCAATTGGTCCCTCCCTCATACATCCAACTCTTGTACATGTCTGTCTTTGCTCTTCCAGGAGTCGCGGGAGCAAAGGGAGGCGAGGAATGGATCAGGGGCAGCACTGGGGCTTTTGAGTCGATTTAATAGTCCACTCCAGCCCTCCATTCCGGCCTCCCACTTGGCCCCTCCCTCATACATCCAGCTCCTTCCTTTGACATGTCTGTCTTCACTCTTCCAGGAGTCGCGGGAGCCAAGGGAAGCGAGGAGTGGGTCAGGGGCAGCACTGGGGCTCGTGTTGGTACAGCAAACGGTGAGTCCCTCCAACACCTGTTCATTCCTCATTCTCACCGTCTTGCCAACTCTGTGTTGTTTCCACTGCTACTACTACTGCTGCTGGTTTTTCCCAAAAACCCTCAAACACCTGTTCATTCCTCATTCCCACCGTCTTGCCAGCTCCGTGTTGTTTCTACTGCTACTACTACTGCTGCTGGTGGTTTCTTAGAGCTCCCAAAAACCCTCGAACATCTCTTCATTCCTCATTCTCACTGTCTTGCCAACTCCGTGTTGTTGCCACTGCTGCTGCCGCCGCCGCCGCTGCTGTCGCTGTCGTTGCTTCTCAATCCTAGGTCTGGTTGTCAGTTACATAAGCATGCCTTGTTATCGCCCTCCTCCTTCCCACTCACCCCCAGGTGACTCTAATGAAGGGAGAGCTCGCCTTTGACTCTCAGCCCGGGTGTGGCAGCACAGTTGCTTTCTCTGTGCCTGTAGCCATGCCCTCGTTACAAGAACACCGCCTAGAGGAACTGCAGTCAAACATTCAGGAACAACAGCAGCAGCAGCAACAGGAACAGAATCAACAGCAGCAAGGTGAGGCCGTATGGCATGGTGAGAGGCAAAGGAGCAGGTCAGGTGATTCCTCAGGTGCCTCCAGCAGTGGTGATGAGCATAAGACAGATTCAGGAGATTGTTCAGGTGTCAGGTGCAGATGTATGCTGCAGCAGCACAGCCAGGTGAGTGGTCAGGTGGCTCAGCAAAACCAGAACCACCAGCAGAACCAGCAGCAGAACCAGCAGCACCAGCAGCAGGGAGTGAGACTCATTCAGGAAAGCCAGAGCAATGGGAGTGGGAGTGGGAGTGCAAGGTGTGAGCCATCCATCTCAATGTGTGTGCTTAGAACCATCACCACTGTTGCTGGCATGGGCATGCGTGCAGGCATGCGTGCAGGCACAGGAGCAGTTGCAGGTGCTGCTGCTGCCGCTGGTGCGGATGAGGCGGTGACGCGGGCGTGGGTGGGGGGGCTGCGAGTGCTGGTGGTGGACGACACGCCCGTCAACCTCCTCGTGGCCCGCCGCTCCCTCGCCCGCTGGGGGGCGCTTGTGACCACCGCCAACCATGGGCAACAAGCAGTGGACTTAATCGCTGCTGGCTTGCAGGAGAGCTCCCTCGCCCGCTGCGGCACCCTCGTCACCACCACCTCTATTGGGCTGGAGGCGATTGAGTCGATTGCTGCTGGCCTCATCTCCTCCGCCTCCCACGGGCAGCAGGCCATTGACCCGCTCGCTGCTGGGTTGGTGGGGTGTGGGGGATGGGAGGAGGAAGAGAGAGGGCAGCAGGCAGTTGGGGAGGAGGGAAGACAGCAGCAGGAGGCGAGAGGGGAACAGGAGGCGAGAGGGGAGAAGGAGACGAGAGGGAAAGAGGAGGGGAGAGGGAAGCAGGAGGCAAGAGGGCAAGAGGAAGGGAGAGGGAAGCAGCTGGCGAGAGGGCAGGAGGAAGGGAGAGGGAAGCAGCTGGCGAGAGGGCAGGAGGAGGGGGATGCGTCCTTGCAGCATGGCTTCGATTTGGTTCTCATGGACTTGCAGATGCCGGGCATGAATGGGTGAGTGGTTGTGAGCAGTGGTGAGTGGTGGCCATGACCGGATGAGTTATGAACGTGCATACTAAACTTTTCGTCTGCATGAACCTCGCTCTTTGCAAACTGTATCTGGTTGCTTGATGTCCCTGTTGCTTGACGTTCCTCCCTTCCTCCTTTTCCACTTGCTTTGGCAGCTTCGCAGCAGCAGCAGCCATACGAGCTCTTGAGAGGAGGATGAGGTTTGAAACAATTTCACGGGCACAGAAAAGGCAGCAGCAAACCCCTTCTGCTCTTTGCATCCCTCTCCTAGAAGCTTCAAACCCTGCTGCTGCTGGCACTGGTGTTGGTGCTGTTGCTGCTGCTGCTGGAGGTGATGGTGGGTGGGTAGGGTCTCTGCGGGTGCCCATAGTGGCTCTGACAGCAGACGTGGATCGCAGAGTGGTGCAGAGGTGTGCAGAAGGGGGGTTTGACGGTGTGCTGCAGAAGCCAGTGGATGCCTACCTGCTTGCCGCCCGCCTCGCCCAGATGCACTCCCAGAGGTCACTCCTACAGATCATGCCACACCCCAATACTGGCATCCCACCACAAACAGACACCATCGATGCAGCAGCCAGTGATTCTTTTGAATGCTGAAAAGTCGGGCTGCTTCACAGACCACTGTGAGGCAAACTGCCAATAGATACCACTGAAGCAGCAGGCAGTAATATTTGGGACAGCTCAAAACACGCTTGGGGGCTGCTTCCCTTTGTCTTAGGACCACTTCAAATGCTGAAAGGTACTGCACGCGCAGCTGCGGGTGGTCTTCGGATGGTTCACATCTCGCTCGGGTTGCTTCTCTGTGCCTTACGACAACTGAAACTACTGACATACACCAAAGCAGGCCCCTAGATTCGTTTTGAGGTAGTCTGAGGCCTCAGAGTACACCCCTCCTGGAACTCTGTCTGTCAGAGGTGCCTCAAAATTTTAGTCTGAAAATTCAGACAAGCACAATTTTTGTCTGAACTGTCAGAGTTACTTCAAATTTTAAGATGTTCATGCAGTTTCGTAAAAGCCGTTATAATAGCATTGAAGCTGATTACAGCCTACCATACCAACGCATCAGGCAACGTGCTCGTGCTCGTGCATCACCTCTGCTCATGTCGGCGGCGTTCCGGTGTTTTGGTCACGTGCAGCGCATGGTTGTTTCTGCTCTGCTGATCTCATTTCGTTTTGTCATGTGTGTGATTACCGTTCTGTACCCATTTTCTCGCATGTGTGCCGATTTTGTCAGTTTTGGATTTGCTTTTCAAGGGACTCGATCGTTCACCCGGTCTGTATCAGGTGGGCCAAGTGCCACGCAGCTGAGCTGGCAGCAGGCAAAAACTGTTGCTTGGTGTGGCATGTGAGGACCAGACAGTGCCACACGAAACTTTCACTATGGATCAGGAACTTCGCAATTCACACCAGTGCGTGCTGCAGATGTTTTTACATCGAATCAGCATCAAAGTCGCCTATTCTTTACAATACATTAGCGATAACTTACATGTGACGAGATTTTGTCCTCAGAAATCTCGTAATCACGCAACCATTTCCTCAGCGCAACTGGAAGATATTCTCGACGAACGAGTGTATTTGGATGTCCCAACTGTCGAAGTGAGCGTTGCTCACGTCCTGGCACTCCACTGCCATCTCAGAAGTGGGCATATCGGAAAGAATCTTCCAAGAAACTTTGCTCCGATAAGCGCGCAGAGTGTACCCCCGATACAAGTATGAGGCTCAGCCTACCCTAGTAAAATTAGGCTGAAATTTCAGACAACTCATAAGAAAAAACTCTGGAAAATCAGACAAGGTACATAAATAAATTCTTTGAGTTCAGACTAGGTACAAAAAAAAAGTCTGAACGGACTCTGATTCAGACTCCAAAGTCTGATATCTAGGGCACTGCACCAAAGGCACTACACATCCCACAGATACTATACAGACTCAGCTGATTTACTGAGGACAACTGACAAGATTCTTCTGAATAGTCTAAGACGCAGCTTGCATTTCTAAAGATATAGGATCTGGCGGACTTACAACAACTCTCTTGAAGAAAGCTAGGGTGAATATAAATGATAATGGCACGGGTTTCTGTAAGACCCTTGTACATATTTTTTTTCGATTTAATGAGTTGTGATATGTGGAGTACACTTGAAATTGGGGGGGGGGGGGGGAGGGGGACGGGGAGAGGGGGAGAGGGGGGAGGTGAGGGGGGGAAGGGGAAGTGGGGGGAGGTCTTGCCGTATACTCGTACCATGCAAAACCCCGCTTTGTGCAGAAGTCGCGAGGGTGATGCACGAGGTCGAAATTTTGATGCGTTGTATATGTTAGATTTAGGGTCTAACACCAAGTCCACGTCAGATTTTGATGTTTGACCCTCTAAAAATTGGCACGTACGTGCTAAGGCCGAACAATATTCAGAAAATAAGGGTCCTTCAAACATTTATACTGAAAGGGGGGTCCTCACAGATGTCGACCACTATAAAAGGCCCTTTTCTGCGTAAGATTCCATGGGGACCCTCTTTCCCGAGTGCCTTATATCAGGAGGAATAAGGTGCATATCCATCTAAATAGTCTGGCTGCAATTTTGAGCCAAGTGCAGCGCCAACAATCAATCATGTTCACCTAGCATCAATGCCTTCTCTGAGAAGAAACGAGAATGAGTGAACTATGAAAGAAGTGAGTACAAGTACTAACCCTAATTGGGTTGTACCCCCTATGGGATACCCCACTATAGCCTACAAAAAATGTATAAGCTACAATGTTCTGACACACCACCATAGGCAAAGTGGGGGAGAACAAGGGGTCACAAGACCAATCAAGCAAAGCAAAGCAAAACAAGCTCAGGGTGGATCTCAAAGTCACCACACATTCCGAGCACAAGTTCAGGGCCACAGGGCCAGTTCACATGCAGGAGTACATATACATAAAAGCTAGACAAGCAAGAGCAGGTATAAATATATGAAACAGTACAAGAAAGGTCAAGAGGTGAGCAAGTGAGGCAAGACAGGCACAAGACCCAGCTGCGTACAGAAGCGCTGATGATCACAAGGCGCAAGTGCCTTGGTGAAGACATCAGCAGTGTTGGCCTCAGAGGCCACGTACGCAAGCCGCAACTGACCACGCTGCTGTAGCTCACGAGCAAGGAAGTAGCGGAGAGCAATGTGCTTTGTTTTGTGCTCCAGTCTCTGCTCTCGACACAAGGCCAGCATGGCCTTGTTGTCTACGTACAGGACTGGAGGAGAACGAGGCGGCTCTCCAAGGTCGGTCAGCAGGTAGGTGAGCCAGCGAAGCTCCTGTGCAGCCATGGCCCCGGCGTAGATCTCAGCCTCACAACTGGAGCCGAGAACAGAAGACGAGCGAGTAGCCCGCCACGAAACAGAGCCAGAACCAAGGCTGAAGGTGTAACCCTGTGACGACCGCTGCGTAGCCTGGTCGTCAGCCCAAGAAGCGTCTGCGTGCCCAGTGAGGACCACTGGACTCCGCCCTCCAAGCACTAGCCCCATGCCCGACGTACTGCACAAGTAGCGCAACACCCTCTTTGCTGCAGCCATGTGCTCTGGTCGGTGTCTCCCAGGAGCAACATAGCGTGCGAGAATGCTAAGAGGGTATGCAAGGTCAGGTCGTGTGCAGGTCATCAGGTACATGAGGCAGCCAACAAGCTCTGGGTACGGGCCACTCGACTCTACGGACTCATCCGAAGGCAGAGCTGAGAGCGAGTGCCGAGTAGACAGAGGAGTGGCCTGAGGCGAGGAGTACGTGAAGCCGAAGCGCTGAAGGACCTGCTGCACCATGTGTGACTGAGTCAGAGTAATGGTGCGGCGTGCTCTGTCCCGGGTGATCTGCAAGCCAAGGTAGCTGCGCAGTTCACCCAGGTCTGTGCACGTGTGTCTCTTCTGCAGCTCGGACTTCACATAGGCGAGTCCAGCAGTGTCAGCTGTGGCATAGACCAAGTCGTCGACGTACACGAGGATGTAGAACGGCGGCAGAGAAGTGTCGGTGCGTAGAAACAGCGACGGGTCGGCAGTAGAGGGAGCAAACCCAAGAGCCGCAAGTGTAGTCCTCAGTGTGTCGTGCCACTCACGCTGTGCCTGGCGGAGACCGTAGACTGGCCGCCGGAGGCTCCACTGGGTGCCAGGAGGAAAAGTCCCAGTGAAGCCAAGTGGGCGGCGCAGCCATATCTCCTCGTGCAGGCTGCCCTGCAGGAAAGCAGTGCTGAAGTCAAGAGAGTGTAGCTCGTAGTCACGGTGAGCAGCTACATGCAGCAGTACCCGAAGAGTGGTCATCTTCGGGGTGGGAGAGAAGGTCTGAAAGTAGTCAACTCCCTGCCGCTGAATGAAGCCACGAGCCACGTAACGCGCCTTGAAGACAGGCGGAGAACCCGGTGGCCGCTTCACCCTGAAAATCCACATGCCACTGACGATGTTCACCCTAGGAGGGGGGACAGCGTCAACGTAGGTGCCTGTGGACTTCGAGGAAGCTGTCTCTGCATCCATAGCTGCCTGCCACTAAGAAGAGGAAAGACCCTTTATCGCCTCCGCGTAAGAGCGCGGAGTCGGGATGTCAAGTGCATCCGGGTCTCCCTCAGCGGTAAGCAGTACGGACACGAGATGAGGTGAAGCAGCGGCCAAGCACTCAAACTCCTCCTGCCTGTCCTCAAGGACGTCCGTGCCAAGGGCACACTCACCCGCGACGGACGGAGGAGGGACAGACTCGTACTCAGCGACAAGACTAGCAGCGAAGTCTAGACGACAGCGAGCAGCAAAGTCGACGAGCTCCTCAACGAGAGCAGACGCAGCAGTGGACTCAAAGGAAGGGTCAGTGACGACAGTAGCAAGGAGACGCGTGACAGTCGGACTGGCAGCACGAAGAGAGTCCGACTCCAGGTCGGGAAGAGCAGGAAGAAAGGACTCAGGAGGAGAGGGCAAAGGGGCACGCAGAGGAGCAGTGGACGGACGCAGAGACATCCAGTGCGTGCCAGGGACAGGAGGAGGACGCTGACACGAACCACGGCCACTAGTGTGAGCAGCACGGGCAAGCGACGCAGCGCGAGACGCGGGCTCACGACGCTCAGCAAGACCTCCAGTAGGACCAGTGTAGGGAGAAGGAGCATGCAGTGGAGAGGCCGGCTGTAACTGTAACTGGGACGGGACAGGCTGTGGACACTCTAAGGGATGAGGAGGACGACCAGTAGAAGGCGGGAGACCAAGAACCTGCTGAAGGAGCGGAACGAAGTACGGCCAAGGCCGCGCGGCGACTCCAAACACAGCAGAGACAGCACCAGTACCCCCAGCGGCAGCACCAGCACCAGCAGCACCTCCACCTCCAGTACCTCCAGCAGCACCAGTAGCACCCCTAGTAGGGTCGCCTCCAGGACCGACAGCAGAAGCTTCCGCGCCAACACCCGCAGTAGCTCCAGCTCCAGAAGTACCCGCAGACCTAGCAGCTCCAGTACTCCCAGTACAAGCACCTACGGGACCCGCTGCACCAGCACCCTCAGCAACAACAGAAACTCTAGCACCCGCAGCACCTCCAGCTCCAGCAGCTCGCCTCCAGCGCCGAACAAACCACTCACGCAACTCTTGTGGAGAGAGTGGCTCCCGTCGAGACAAAGC